AATGCACCTATAAGTTGTTTGCCAACCACCATTTAAAAAATAGAAGAAGAATAAGAAAAACCTATCAGAGGCTGCCGGTGAACCAATAGAGAAGTTAGTGATAGTTCTGATTGAATGGTGGGAATGCACAACTGTTTTCTTAACAAGCAACACAGCTGCAGACAGCTGCAGACAGCTGCCAGCTCCCATGTGGACTGTAGTCCCCTCAAGCAGGGGCGGATTAAGGAAATTTGGGACCCTAGGCAAAGACGGGCAACACATAAAACAGACTCATTATACAGATAGAGAAATTTTAATAGAATAGACATTATTTTTTCTACCTTTTGTCCCTCTCTTCTTGTCTCTTTTCTATGTTTTCTAATGTGCTCAGCTGACTTTTAATGCTGTCTCAAAAGGAATCAAAGATTTTCCAATCACTAACCCCGAAATCCCACATCCTCCATCACTGCCCCGCAGTGCTACACATCTCTTATGATGCGGAGCGCATCTTTGGCTGCACTTAAGTGAAGCTAAAGATGCAGTTAAGTGTACATGGTCCTATAGCTAAACAAGTGACAGGCACTGACCGCAGACAAACATTATACGCATACGCTTCTTTATGAATAGAAATAACATCAAACAGAACTGGTTTATATGCAGACGGATGACCTTGTGGATTGGAACACCTCTTTTGATAGAGGGGAGGTTAGGGGCTATCATGGTTGAGCAATTCACAGCACCATGCAGTTTTCTGCTTTGTGTAAGAAAAAAAAAACTGAACAAAATCAATGAGTGTCTTAATGGCAGGTTTACTTACTCTCTACATTTCTTTTCTCCTATCCTCGCTTCCTCATATAACCTCTCTTACCTCTGACTCTTTACTCCCTGATACCCGGTCCTCCCACTCCATTTTTATCTGACTAAAAGTCACTCTCTATAAACATACTGTGTGGCAAGGATAGTTTGTATGACTTCAGATGAGATTCTGAATCAATTGATCTGTTGGCTACAGTTTATGTTTAAAAGTGGAAACACATTGATCTGTGCTGTTACTAAAGAAGAAACCAACTCACTCAGACTCAGAGCAAATCCACCCATCTGTGTCCAGATGGACCTGCAGTTAAAGGAATTGTATTAATATCATTTTGCTGTTGAAACTAGTCACGATGAACAGGTATGGCCACTTCTAGATCTAGTCTTCTTCCCGATTGGTTGATGTAGTACAGTGGTAGATCACAGGTTTATATGAACAAGAACTTGGAAGTAGTGATGGAATTTGGTTGGTACCAATAAAGGTTCTGAATTACCTGTCCCTACATAAAGTGTTAACTTTTCTAAATCGGAGCATGTATTCTTAGCAGTACGTTTGTCTCCTGCTTCCATTTAATACATTTTTTTACCTGTTTCATGCTGGATCATCCTCTTTCTTTCACTATGCAACTTTGCCCTTCCAACTCGCACAGCTTCATTGCCTCTCCTAAGTGTACAATATATGTGTTATATGGCTTCTTTCCTACAGCAGGAACAATGCGATCCAAACTCGATCCAATCGCCCATACAGTATGTGACTCGTATCTGACTATTTCACGGCAGTCTGCACTGCCCAATTTCAAGAAAGATCTTTTTACTCTCCCCAAAAAAACGGTATATGCTGCATTTTATCCAACATTTACTTCAGTGACAATGCAGCCACTAACTTCTCTACTGAAGGCTTGCTTGCTTGCCTTTATTCATTTCTTTATGTAGTCATGATGATCCAAGCTCCCATTCCTCATAAATTTAATACTAAAGTGTTGAAATTAATTGGAATTTCCAAATTGAATTCATTTTATTTTATTTTAAGGAAAATATCATTTTTTTTCCCCTTAATGTAGGCATGTCCAAAGTCGGTCCTGTAGGCCCCTGTCCTCCAGGTTATCATTGACTCCTGAAGCACTAACCTTCTGTTTGCATTTCTGCAGAGGCTGAGCCACATTAATGGCCATCCCAAACCACGTAGTGCGTATGGCGAGTGGAACCTTCAAGCCCTAAATAGTGATTCGACATAAGTGCAGATTTGCTGGAACTTGTCAGCGAGTGTAGCGGCGAATTAATGGTGGAGGAAACACCTGCCTTTGAATTTGAGTCCCACTGGTTTGTTGCATCTTTGTCACGTTGACAGGAAATTACAAGTTAGCAAAAAGAAATAATTGATTCTGAAAAGGGAACGTCCTCTTTGAAATAATTTGATTTGACAGCGCCACAGACCTGCAGTCATGCCATGATGTTGCCTCAGCAACCTCTAGTTTCACTTTACAGTGGAGGGAAAAGTGCGTCCCGTTCTCATTCATATCCCCCAACCTTCAATTAAGATGCTCTCTGCAGCTGTGAGTGTGACCTCATCAAAGTGAGCCTCGATAGTGTGTTATATTTCCATGCTTGAAATTAAAGCCAGTTTTCGTTGAACACTTCTAGTAACATCCAATAGTATTTCAGTAAATGCTGCGCTGCTGTGTAGCGTCTTCATTCTCCCTCTGTGTGATTTGTTTCTTGAATCATTCAGACAGATGGGCAGTGAATACACTGACAACAAGTCTGTAATGTATTTTGTCACTAAGCCATTTGTAGATTCATTGACTAACAGAGGACTAATGGATGATGGTGCTGACGCCCTTGTATACCTTTCCATATCGTATACGGCGCTGTGACTCCTTCTCAGAACATACAACAGGAGTCGGTGTTACGTTTTATTCTGTGCCCCATCATGTATTGTGAGCAGTGGGGAACAGAATGTGGTTGAACACCAGCAAGTGGACAGAAACTTCTCTTTCTTGATGATGCATTGAAGCGAGCTGGGTGGAATGACACCACAGTATCTGTGACTCATGTCAGGAACAATCATAGCTCTAGTTGCGTGGTCTTTTTATGGTAAATATACACACAGTGCTTTGTTTACTATCAAATAGAGTATAAATGTAAAGCCAATACATAAAATAAATCAAGCCAAAAGGTTGGAATAATTAAATTTAATCAGAGGGCCTTTAGGAGGCTGTTATTGTAGAAATTTGTAAGGTTGCAGTAAATAATTAGGCCTCCTACTGTAGATCACTGTAGGTAATGGTAAATTAAGATATGATTAATATCTTCATCATGTGGTAGAAAATTTTCCTATATGATTATTTTTATCCTGTCTTGTTTAAGATGATATGCATTATCCATATGTTAAGAGGAGGTGCATTCTTCCCTTTAGCCTCTTGTTAAATCTTTTCCTATTGATTGTGTTCAAGGAGTTGGAGTCAGAGAACATTCAGAATGTAGTTCTGTGCCAAGGCCAGCTAAAGGCTGATTTATACTCAGAAACAGTGTCATCTGCATGCGTGTCACAGTGAATGCAAATCTGCCTCCGTCTCGCAGACACTCTGGCCTCTTTTTGGTCAAATCTACAGCCGCTCTACTCTATGCATATTTACTGTTTGGTTTCTTATCGGCTTGTTTTGTATGACCGCCATTGTTGGAAAAAAAAACTCGTGAAGTTGAGGTGCATGAGAACACTGGGACCCTTTTTCCACCTGGACCCTCAATCTTTTTC